AGTACAATGTAGACTTTTTAAATTCTAGTTAATAAAGTGCCATTTTGGGGGGCTATTTTAATGTGTTTTGGTGATTTGAAATAACCTTGCAGTTAACACATGTTCAACCCTAATTAATTACAAACAAGTTCAGAACATTTAAAATATTTTGACCCCACCCCCAACCCCTCTGGTTACATCACTGGGATTGACTTGAGCCTTTTAGACCTCTGAATTTTAGTTGCAACTTAGAACAGTGTTCTGACATACAAGAAAATTGTAAGAAAATTTAAAATTTGTGCAAAAGCATTTCTCAAATAGGTCGTTCCAGAAAATATCCACACTCCCCCCACAGAGAAAATTTCTGCTGTTCAGAGGGGGAGGGGGGGGGGAATTGTTTCTGATAATAATAAATGTATTAGGACATCCAAAGGGGTAGAAGGGATTAACTTTCAATTTCCTCTGTGGGAGTGGTATGGGTGTTTTCTGGAATGACCCAATATAACTGTGTTTTTTTCAAATCTAATCAAACTGTCAAATTGTCAATCCTTGTACATGGGGAGGGGAAATTTTGGAGAAAGAAAAATTGTGACCAATCAGGTTGAGGGTCCACCTGTAGGCCTGGTCATAGGCATACAGGGCTGGGCTCAATGGTTGGGCAGACTAGGCCAGTCGGGAAATATTTACTTCACAGTGGGGCAATATTGGCTTATTATAAAAATAAATGTGAGAAATTATTTTTCATCCTGCTCGGTTTCCATTGTTATTAGTGGGGAATATATTCAATATTCCACTCTAATCAATTTCCGTTTAATAATCCCCTCTAATATTCACCTGCAATGAATAATCCCCTCTAATAATCACCTGCAATGTCTTTGCAGCACAAAAAATGAGAATAAAAACAACATAACGAAGGCAATATGGCATTAAGAATTATTTCTATTCTGTCTCATTAACGCGACCTCGCAATGTGAAAAATAAGTACGTTATTTTGAGGCACCTCGGGGATATGTGTTTATTCACCTCGGCGCTGCGCGCCTCGGTGAATAAAGCACATATCCCCTCGCTGCCTCAAAATAACTTATACTTATTCCCTCAATATTGGGGGAAATATGCTATATAATGGGCGAAAATTTAGTTCATTTTGATTAATAGTCATTTAATATATGTGCTATCAACAGTTTCTTTATGGTATTAAGTAACAGATTACAGTGTTTGTACATTAAAGATTTAGAGGCACTAATAACTCAAAAATAAATAGGCACTAATACAAACTCTGAGCCAGTGCACCCGGCATCCTCAAATTGAGAATAATTTGTAAATTTAATATTTGTGTATAATTCATAATTTATACTATTCCAATACAAAATGCAATAATATAGAACACACAATTTATCAAATAAAGGTAAAAAGATATTAAAAACTTTATTATGTAATATTTACATTGAATATCGTGGTTGAAGTTGTAGATTTAATATACTTGAAATTTCAATTTTCGAACGAGAAATGTTCCGCTTTATTATGTTAATTAATTAAATTTTTTACTTTGTTCGCCATTCTTGCTTATTTACAAATACAAATAGTCCATTTCTTCTTTTGCTCTTTTCAAAATAGCCCAGAATTTGGTTCAAAAAAGTATTTTCATGCAAAAACCAGCATTTAACTTTTGTATACACTCCTTGTGATAGCAGACATGTTGCCAAAATATCACCTGGTTAAAGAATAACTTCCGGTACTTTTATTGTATTCGCATTGACCAATCAAATCACGTTCTGAGTTGGATTATCCCAGGGCTTCTGAGAGCAATAAGCGCAGAAACCCTGGGTACGAGGTTGAGCAGACTTTGGTTTCATGTACAACAAGGTCGTCTACTGTAACTACCTCACATTGACGGCAATGAAACGAAGAGAAATGTTTTCCTCACATCACTTCTTTGCAAAATCCTTTTGCCAGCAAGAAATGTAAAGCATGTCAAGTAGGGCAACAGTAATGAGCAGATTGCCATTGAAAAACATTTGGAGAAAATAATTCAGGATGAACTGATAATGACTGCATGTGTAATGACTGCATGTGTTCAGTGTGGGTTATTTGTTAACATAGAAGCTCCATGGCTTGGAGCAACCAGACTGCTTGTTATATAATCATGCAGAGCCAACATCATTTTGGATAGGTGAGGGGAAGTGCCCATTTTCAAAAATGCTGTCTGACTTCAAAATGATGCAGGCATTTAAATTTGGTGTTCAGTCCGTACAATCAATAATTACACGGGTATTTGGGTCGGGTTTTTTGAAAGGCTGTGGCATAGTTTGTTATATAGTATATAAGCTTGTGATGCAGAGATGGATAGGTCTCCTAACTTGTGATAGAGATACTCTAACCAAGTAGCCCATATATGGGAAACATGTGCTGTGAAATGCCAAATCGGTGAGCAATATGTCAACCCGCATACGACCGCAACGTTGGCGACATTGATCTTTTTCGCGGCAGCTTTTTTTATTCTGCCGAGTATTCTACATTGTTACTCCAACCAGCATAAGTTAAGAAATTACATGCTGCTTGCAGAAAGTCAAGGAAAACTTTAAATGTTGCATAATTTTGAAAACATGTATAGAATTTAGATTTGTGTCACTGGCAAGTACATGTTCTATTCGCAATACACACTGTTCGTATTTAAATGGTAACTCATAATATTTTCTTTGTAAAGCTGCATGTTCAGTTTTTAGTCTTTCATTGGTTGACTCTTGTGTATCAATGCTAGTCGTTTGTTGTTCAGACTGGGTTGTTCAGTCTCACTAGATGTCTATAGTAATATATCTTCCCTGCCTGCCATACTGTTTACAGTTTGTCTACATGATATTTAACGACAGTTGGCAATGCACTAAAAGATTTCTCACTCAGTGTAAGGAACACACTTGGCAACTTTTTTATAAAAGGTTCACTTTGTATTCTCAATAAATTCAACCATATTTCTCACAGGAAATTTATGGAAGGATAATTCCGAATTTTTAACACTGTCGCTTTGACAAACTGGCACACAACAGGTCGTTCCCCTGTACATTTTACCTTTAGGCACTTTTTCCTTGTCACTTGCCATATTTATTCAAACAAACAGCAAAACAAACGGCTCGAAACTTTCCAAAATATACTCGAAACAAGCGAGGTTGCTTTAAATTTGACTGGCGTAAATATGTTGTAGTTAAAAACTCCAATAAGACACTTGAACAGCAGTGAATAGTACTTAAAAGTACTTTTTAAATCTTTGAAAATCTTTGAAATGTGAAAGCTCGGTATTTGAAACAGTAATTGTTTTGCCTTTCGCGCCAAACAACCTGAATGTTTTGTGGTTGTGAAACGAACGTTTGATCGAACATCTGTTGTTTTGGGACGGTCAAGTGCGCAAACATTTTTGTCTCTCGAGTCGCTAGAATTAAACCGATCGTTAAAAATTATAGGAAAATAATAAGTTACAACGTGTTCCTTCTTTCGAAAATAATTCAATGCAGTACTCACCTTCATGTTGTGAAATATTCAAAAACATTTTCTGACTACTACGAATCGAACTCCTTCCCCGCTTCAGTGACTTTGTACGCCATGTTAAATATTTCAACCACACTCGCTCGTAGAAGTTCAAGACCCAGTAGAAATATGAAACAAGTCGTACAGATTTAGTCAAAACTTTAATCAAAGCGAAAACGATAAAAGCTTTCTTGCAATTCTCATGTCTTTAGCACCTTTCCTCGTTCGAGAAGTATAAGCGCCATGTTAGAAAATTCTGCGGTGTAACTAAACTACCATAATGCTTAGCAATTCCGCAATTGGCCCATTCGGTTGAAAAATCTGCTCCAATATCTTTACCACAAGACATTTTTCTCAACACTTAAAATTATCTCAACGGTTACATTCCCGTTCCTATTGATAGATACGATATTTGGTCATTATGGATTTCAGTAATGCTTTAAGCTTCTTGCAGCCATCCTTGAAGATCCATGCACCACATTTTCTCGTTCCTCAACTCCATAATTCGCGTTACCCGTTTCCTATTTGGTAAAACACTAACAACCGATCACTATCGGGAACCGTTCAAGGGAACAACGGAACAGCTACCGTTCAACGGAACAATGGAACAGCTAAACAAAATAAAAAAAATTTGACTAATTATGCAGAGCCGTAATATAATATTCATTAGTTTAGATTTTGTTGTTAATCGCACGTAAAATGTGAAAACCCTAAATCTAATTCTTGAAGGCAAAGAGTCATTTACTCATCTTAAGATGGGCGAATAACGATGGAATAATAATGGTGGTTTTCTTTTAAGAAGGCAGGGGTGGGGGGGTAAATAGTCGCAGAGATATTTACATTAGAAACAATTGAATCGTAATATTGTAATTGCGAATACGACGAGAAAGAGTTAAGGGCATTATTCCCCAAACACGACATAGGCATAACACAAAACAAGCGACTATCCCAACTTCAACGTTACAGCTAAGTAATTTTTCTTAACATATGTGTCACACTGCACGCGAAACATTGATATTGAAGCGCAGTTAATTCTCACATTTTACGTTGTATTTCAAATAAAAACTAAACTAATACTTATTATATTACGGCTCATCAAATTTTGCTGCCATTTTGGATTTTATTTAGCTTTTCTCGTGGTGAATTCCGTTGTTCCGGTAGTCAGTGTTTCCCAACCTTGTCACTTCCCCTGCCATCTCCTGTGTTTCTTCCGCTTCCTTCCCAACCTGCTACTCAGGGATTTCGCTTTCGTTACCATCCTCCCCCCAAACCCGCTCCAGGAAAAAAATGCGGCCCAGACTGAACTCGTAGCGCCACCCAGATTTTAGGTGCCACGTCGAAGTAAGGTAGATGGGACAGATAATATGCGCCATCAATAACAAAAACTAAACTAATACTTATTTCGGAAGGAGCGAGTCGTGGTAGATGGAATTGTGACGGATTTTCTAGATATCAACAGAGGAGTACCACAAGGAACTGTCATTGGCCCTTTTTTATTCTCACTCATGGTCAATGATATTAATCTCGAAGATCCTGAGAGTAACCTTTTGATTAAGTTTGCGGACGACTTGACTGTTAATGTTCCTGTGAAAACTGCTGAAGTTTCAGCAGCTAGCGAAGTAAGGAGCATTAAAAGATGGGCGAGTGGTAATAGGATGACTCTTAATATATCTAAAACTTGGGAAATGGCTGTTCGTGGCAGAACAACGATGCCATTACCGCTCCAATTGGATGGTATTGACCGCAAAAACTGGTTGAAACTTTTCGGAAAGGCTTCTCGGGACGACCCTTGCTGTTGGGATTTACAAGTCGACACCCTCCTATCGAAGGCTGCTAGCCGTATGTACATCCTTAGAGTGTGCAGATCCTATGATTATACAAAGGAAAACTTAAACCTATTGTTTGAAACTCTAATTCTATCGTTGTTCCACTACGGAATTGAAGTTTGGGGATCCGCTCTACCGAATGAATACCTACAACGAATTGATAAATTACTCAGACGAGCTTATCGATTTGGATATACCTTGAAAGAGTATAAAATATCGCAACTGGTTGAGGAGAAGGACAAGGCCTTATTTGCAAAAAATCTGAATGATCCGGATCACGTTAATAGAAAGAAAACATTCTTTTATTTTACCAATGATCAAAACAGAACGTTTTAAACGCTCATTTTTAAAAAGATGCTTACTTATTAGACTATTTTTAATAAATAGCTATTTTAACTTTTTTAATCACTATAAAATAATTCTATTGTAACTCCACTTGTAATCATTGTAATTGTAATTTAGCTCAATTGGAATTGTAAAAGCACACGTTTGTTGTGCCTACTTCCTACTTAATAATAATAATAATACTAATAATAATAATAATTTTTTTTTAATAATAATAATAATAATAATAATAATAATAATAATGGAAACTTTTTATTAGATATTTACGATATGCTATATATACATTGATAAACCACAGGAGGCCCAGGTTCGATAATTTTACGCTGAAACATCTTGTCAAATAGAGTAAATAACGTAAATTACTATCCGTATTTACTGACTAAACTTCTTATATTTAAATAATTAGACTTGCACTGGTTTCCCCCCGACAACATTTGTTAATTGTTTTGATTCAAATTTATATTACGTTACTGACTATTCAAAATTTGAAATGTTTGTTGATTTTCGTTGTCCAATCAGGGTTGAGTCTATTTTGAGTTGTTCAACGACTTCCGCTTTTTGTCCAGCAAACCCGCCACGCGGATATATTTTGGCCGAATTTTGTTATTCCCTCACGGATTTCAGAGCGAATTTAAGCTCCTTGATTAAAGCATCGTTGTTTTGAGAGTTATACGGTATCAGTCTTGCAGGGGATATCGATTAATCGTGAAAGAAGTGCATTAAAGGAGGAAAATCGAGGATAGTTTCGTGTGACTTATGCCAAGTCTGGGCTATTTTGGTCTCAATGTTTCCTTCCTTCCCTCGTTATCAGGAAGGCACAGGCGGGCGCGGGCAAATCGAGCCTGGGCCTCTTGTGGATAAACCTCACTTAATAAAAGGTAGCTTCTCGATGTCCACTTGAATTGAATATAAAACTGAAATATATATACAGGTGAAAATCTTTAAAATTTAGTTAAAAGTTCAAAAGTTCCGGGTTGTTCCAGTCTTTGCTTCGTCTACAGAATATATAATAAGAAGTGCGAATACAAGTAGCAATTATTTTCTATTTTACATATTTAATACGTTGTTCGTCGTACTTGAGATCATGGAGCATATCAAATAAAGTATTCGTCGATTCACCAAATACACTTAATTTAATTAATTTAATTCAATTAAATTAATAATATATATATATATATATATATATATATATATATATATATATATATATTATTAATTTAATAATTTATCTCTTTTCGGTCACACGCATTCGTATCATATTACGACCCAATCGTTCTAGTATAAATATCTCGGCGAGTATTGACCCCCCTTTTAAATAAAACCCACCATTGAAATCCTCACAAAATAACCATTCGAACGGGGGGTCAAGTGCCGTCTGAACATTACACAAACCGAAACAATCATATATTTACTCACCGCTTAGCCAAAGATTCTAAATTTCATATACACAACATCTTGAATACCCCTTGAACTTTTCGACATTTGCTGAACGGCTATATGTGTAAAATACTCTTTGTACTCAAGCGCTTTCGTGTAGAAAGTTTCGTATGTATACGCCGACTAGAAATATTTATTTTGAATTTTTCAAGATGTCGGGTTTTACTCGCACTTGAGTACATTGCGCAATAATTGACCAATAAGAAGCTCCTGTAGCCGGGATGACGTCAAACTCACGCGTGTAGGTGCAATTTGACCTTGCGAATCCATTTCTGGGCTTTCGAGGGTCATACGATATAAGCGTCGCATTGTTTTGACGGTTTTCAGTCGTATTTCCGGTTGGGATTAACTCACTTCGAGCTCACAGTCGGACAAGAAATGGAAATATATTGATAAAAGATACAGATTTGAAGATACAGGCTTGCAAATAACACTCTAAATAGTGTTTTTAATGGGAATTCTAACAAGCCCATTACAAAGACGATATGTTCGAAGGGGCCGAAGTTACTTTCGGCGAAAGGTATGGCTAGTCTATATTTTTGTTCAGACAATTGCGTAATTTGATACAATATGATCGTGTTGGACTTTCAAAGGCCGATAAATCGCTACAATGTTAATAATGGCTATAACTATCGTTTGGAACTAGTTGATCTTTTATTTCTGAATCGAATGGTAGTATTTCTGTCTTCATAGCACGCACTAAACCGAAGGTATGAAATTTCGAAGCCGTCGATCTCTCGAGATCGATGAGACTGGGTTGTGATGCAAAATAGGCTACATTAACAAACTTAACTTCATCATATATACTTTCTTGATCGGTAATTAGAGTCAAATATTTTTCATGTTTCCGATCTGAGTTTTTTTTCAGGCTTGTTTCGAATCCAACAGTTAATTCTAGAATGTACAAAATCTTATTTTCAATTGTCAATAGAAGGTCTGGTAGTAAATCGTCACCAGTGATGACAGATTTGCTAATAAATCCTGGCAGATCTACACACATTTTGGGCCTTCCGACGTCGCGAAGGCTGGACGCAATGATATTCAAAATTGAATCATGTCGCCATGTATATCTCCCTTCGTTTAGATATGTCTTACATCCAGAGATTACGTGCAAAAGTGATTCAGGGCAGAAGCAGAACGAACGGTCAGCAGATGATGACAGACCCCATTTAACTAGGTTTTTCCTAGTAGGCAAAGAATTGTTGATGTAACGTACACTGAAGTTAAATATGTTCTTAGGAAGTTTTGAATGAACCGATGACCATAGGGAATTGAATGCCAACGTGGAGTTTTTCACGATGTTTGAGAAAAAAGAACCTTGTGACATTAGGTTATTTTGTAGTCGCTGTTCATTTTTTGTCTAAATGTCTTCAATACATCTTTTGTGTTTGAGTAAATGTCGTACTGAATGTTCCTATTGGTGCTTGTTATTGACCATTATTCACGTATGTTTTCATTTATCGACGACTTTAAAGCTGAGCGTGAGACAGTTTGGCACTGTATAAATTTCGTTGAAGGTAGAATGACACTTAACCAAATTTGTTGTAAGGGAGATAGACATTGCTTAGAGTTGCAGATATTGGCAGTTCGAGCCATTTTCGTATATATTTAGTAGTAATACCGTCCAAAGTCTCGCAAACCCAATTAACCCATGTTTGAGATATATCAGTTACTGTGAAGTCCCATGAGATTTTCGAGAGCAAGTAGCGACTGTATAGCAGGATTTTATTTCGGGCGTGCAAATGTAATTCATCGATCTATTTTAGATAGTGATAGTGATAGTGACTTTAATGGATTCATAGTTTGCAGTTACAGAAGAACTGTGCACTGAATTATCTACGAATATTTACAAGAAATGAATAGTTAGTCTAAATAGATTACCAATAGATTAGTTAAAAAGTTTGATCAAAATAGTTTTCTAAAATTTAAATGGGAATACATTAAGAATATATACATTCAAGATTACCTAGATTTTTACATATTTGAACTGTTAGAAATGACAAAGGAGTTTTTAAAACGATCGGTTCTAGTTCTTGGCACTAAAAGTTTACGGCTTCTTCTTAGGGAATATTGGCATGAGTTCTCCTTTGGAATCAGGTTGTGTAGTTTATGACTAGTATCAGAATAGGCTTGGAGAAATAGCTTTTTGCACGCTTCCGATCGGCGATCACACAGGGTTTCTAGTTTAGCTAATTTGAGGCCTTCTTCGTATGAAACGCCAGGAAATATTCTTTTGATACATCGTTTTTGAACTCTTTCAATATCCAAATTTAAATATTGCGGTAAGGAATTATGAAAGACAGGTGAGGCGTATTCCAGTAACGGGCGAATGCATGAACAATATATTTGAATAATTTCATTTGCAGGAACTCGAGCTCTCTTTAACTGTGTGATTAGATATAGTCGCTTACTGGCCTTGGATACGATGTTATCAACGTGCATTTTCCACCTGCAGTCACTGCTAACTGTAAGACCAAGTATTTTCGCGTGGTTTACGACCTCAATCTCTTTCCCGTTGACTCGGATGGGGTTGAGATTATTTGTTTGAGTTTGCTTCCGCGAAAAATCAATTCTGAGCTCTTTACATTTATCCTCATTGAGTTCGGCCAAATTCGAGCGTGTCCATTCTTGAACTTCGTCAACGGGTTCCTGAATTGAACTTGGCTTTCCTTTATGAACGACTTCAGATAGAGTAGTGTCATCAACATATTTCCAAGGTTTTGTACGGGTTGTTGTTAGATCATTAATCATTAATATATACAGCCAAGGACCCAGTTTTGTCCCCTGCGGCACACCTGAGCGCACTTGACCCCATTCAGAATAACAGTTAGATGTTAACTTTACCCTTTGTTTTCGGTCGATTAGAAAATCAATAATCCAATTGATAGTTGAAGACGGAAGATCGAGGGATTTTAATTTCGTTATCAAACGGTTGTGGTCAAGAAGATCAAACGCCTTTCGAAAGTCGAATAGCACTGTACGAATCGCGTTACCTGGTTCGTCCGTGGCTAGCAGCCATTTATGCATCATTGAGATCAAGGCCAACGTAGTGGATGACTTAGGTACAACACCGTACTGATTGGAGTCGATGACTTTTAGAACTGCTGACTTAAGTTGTCTTTCAAGAATAAATTCTTCGGACAATTTAGACACAACTGGTGTTAAAGAAATAGGACGTAAATGCTTGTTAATGTCTGTTACTTGTGTATTTTTAGGAACAGGAGAAATATTTGCCTTTTTCCACGCCGATGGTAGTTTTTCTTGCTTATAAGAACAATTTAAAATAAGGCTGATGGGATATGCCAAAATTTCTGCAAATTCTTTGTAAACCCAAGGGGGTATACCATCAGGTCCAGGAGATTTGTTTGGGTTGAGAGCTTTCAATTTCGTAAATGTGTCAAATTCAGTTACTTGCACCGTATCGGCAGAAATAACCGAAAAAGATGCGGTATATGTTTGATCTAAATGCCGATATATTTTGACCGACTCATCAAGTGGTTGATACGCTTGCTGCGGCTGTAAAAAGGTGTTGTTTATTAAATTTGCTTGGTCGT